TTCTTTCTTTCTTTCTTTCTTTCTTTCTTTCTTTCTTTCTTTCTTTCCTTTTCTTTTTTCTTCTAACCAGGACCTGTGGTGCTCCTCTAGGCAAAAGAGGCTGCGGTGAGGCCAATCCACGGTATTGAGGAACTCCTTTTCCTCTCTTCCCATACGAAAGTCACGTGGGTAACTATGCAACTATGCAGAGTGAGAGAGTTTTTATTGTTGTTGTTGTTATTAGTGTGTGTGTGTGTGTGTGTGTGTGTGCGTGTGCGTGTGTGTGTGTGTGTGTGTGTGTGTATGTGTACATGTACTCGTGGCTCAAATAGCCTGTGGAGGACAGAGGACGTCTTTTCTTTTGGGAGTCAGCTCTCTTCTACCTTGTTGATGAGAGTCTCTGCTGTTGCTTCTGCCATGATATGAACCCAGGCTGGCTGGAATTGAACGTCCAGCTATCCTCCCAGGTCACTTTAGGCGTGCTGAGCTTGCAGATCCACTCCACTGCACGTACGGAAACAAACAAACCAACAAACCAGAAAACCACGTGTGTGCTATAAGTGCTTTGTGCTTTTACCCACTAGACCATCCGGCCGAAGGGTATTCTAAAAGCCCATCTCTAAAGAAAACAATCAAACACACACACACACACACACACACACACACACACACACACACAGCTTGTTAAACGCAATGTAAGGAATCAAGTAGGGATCAAGGTCAGGTTATAGCTGCCTTTTGCATGAACTCCTGACCCAAAGCATGTCCTCCATCAGGGATACGTCAAAACTTCCTCCTTATAATCACCGTGTGCAGAGTTAATCTCGAGAGTGATGTTTACCTTTTCTGCTGGCACAAAGAGAGAAGAGGCTCACTCATTAGAATGACAGTTTGTCACAACTGTTCTTTAGCTGTATCTATCAAGCATCATTCTAGAAAGACTCATCCAGTGTCCTCAGCCTTTTCCTACCCACTGTCTTTATGTAGTTCCTTACATCTTTTTACTAAAGCACTTTAATAAAATTGGGTTACTTTTTTGGTTTAAATGGTATGTAATCTAAATTGTTCCCACTGGCTAAAAGCATAAGCTTCTTCATGCAGAAATCATATTTTATTCATTGTTACAGCATGAGGCTTCATCCTCAGTAAGTAGTTGCTAACTTTGAGTTAACTGAGTGCAATGGGGAAAAATTAATTGTGTATATGTGTGTATGTGTACATGCGTGTGAGTGCATGCATGTTCCTGCATGTGTGTGTGTGTTTGTGTGACCATGTGTGATGTTTAATCTCATTTATGAAAAGATGACCTTTTGCAAGGATTTTGTTTATCAGGAGAAATTCAGATAATCAATGGCTTTTCAAGAGAGACAACCAATCCTCATCCCAAAGTCCCAAAGGTAACCTTCAGCTGCTAGAATTAAGCCTAGCAGAGTATGGGCAGCCTGGATGGGAAGGGGGTTCTAACATGAAATAGAAGGGCAAAAAGAAAGCTCTTGTCAACTTTATAATTCTGTTTCAATTTGGTCCTGTTCTGCCCAATGTCTGTCTTTGCCAAGTTTTACGTTAGGGGGTACATATTATGGGCTGTAGGACAGCTGCTCTGTGCACTTGTGTGTATGTTCAAATAAAGTGACTGGAGGTGGGGGCAAAATGGTGGGACAGATGGCAGGACCCTTGGCTGATTATGGGGAAGTGAACTGGGGAAGCTCTCCTGCGCTTCATGTTTCTCCTGGAAAGTTTATGTGTTTGTCATGATGTGAAAAAAAGTTGGGGAAGCATCGTCCTGGAGGAAGCTTTAGAATGGCGGGGATGCAACAGCACCACAGAGAATGTGAACATCGACACTCACACACTTCAAATATGAATAAGCACTAGAGCTGAGTCACACCTGGCAGAGATATTCTGACCATGTTTCTTAGTGACTTTACTGTCCTTGGATAAAGCATACAGATTTGGCATATGTCTACATTTGACAGGGAGTCTTCAGATACAGAGAGCGTCTTCTAGCCTCTGTGATTCCTTCTCCTGGAATTTCTAATCATATGATTTTGACTCCTGGATGGGAGCAGTGTTGAGATCCGGTTGTGTTACTCCATATTGTGTAAAAGGCTGGTTTTTCAGACTTGCTCCAAGAGGCTCCTTTCCAAGGAGCTTCTGACTCTGTTTTGAGGCTAGAGGATGAAGTCTGGTTCCGACACATCCTAGACTGGTAAACTCTAGGAACAGAAAAGGGACCATCTAATGCACTATAATGGTGTGGATAAGGGCACCTGGACCATTAAAAACCTATCAGAAAAACAGGCCAAGAAACTAAGGGACATCTGAAGACCCTCATCTGGTCTCCATAAAGAGGAAGACATCTAACATTGCCGTGGCAATGACGCTCACTGACTTGTCACCTAATCACATGGGCATCAAGAACCCACAGGCAGAAGATTCCCAGCTGTCCCTGGGCCTTTGTCTTGACTCAGTTCCCACAGTCAATTCAAACTGCCATCTGTTTGTCTGTTCTCCTGTTCATTCATCCAGGCTTGCTTTCCTTCACCTCACTACTGCAGCTCAACTCCAACCCTAAAGCCTGACCCTATAACCAGCAACCAGCAGCCACAGCTGCTTCTTCCCCATTTATCCAGCTTGCCTCAGTTTGTTGTTATCAATACAGTTACTCATCTTTTGCCTCTCAGGCCCCCTGAAGCCACTGAAAGATCTTGCATCTTTAACATACTTGCAGCCATTCAGCAAGCTGCACAGGCGCAAGAATGGCTGTAATTACTGTGGGATGAGTAACACGTGATCTGAGGGTTAATGCTAGTAATTAAAATTGCAGGAAATGAACACGCGCTTGGTTTGGCCAGAGCTCTCAAGGAAAGGAAGAATACGTGGCAAATTGATATGGCAGGCCATCAACCCTGCCATACTTGTCAATTGATTGTCATTCAATAAATTCTGACATTGTGTAAAGACACAGCATATCAGTCTGTGTTTCTGGCATAGTAGATTCATGGCAAGCAACATTCTATTAAATTTCAGCCTGTGGAATCCCAGTGAGGTGGGATTTGACACCTCAAAAAATTAGATGAAGTGGAGTGGGCGAGTTGGGGCACACCCAGCAAACGCCTAACATTTCAGGCTGGGCGGACATGGTGGCTTAACCATGGAATGATGCTAGCCGGGTTGAAAGACATCGGGTCACTGTCTTGTTGGCATTCCTATCAGCTCAGTCCTGCTTTAGATCCTAATGGAACTGAGCTGGATTTTTCAGCTGCTGATTCAGAATCACATCCTATCTATAACTATAATGTGCTATTTCTGTGGAGAAGTTTTCAAGCCAGATATTTTAGTACTCCCCATAAGAAAGACTTTACAAGGTCAGTGTGTGCCTTGAGGTTCTCTTGATCTGGGAGGAAGTCACGGCGGGAGGCACAGGCTTTGCTTTTAATTGAAACAAAAAGTCATTCTGGTGCTATGGAAGCAGCGTGTGCTTTGCTGAGGGCAGAGTGTCCACCACAATCCACACCATGATTTTGTCATCCCTAGCAACCTGCTACGGGGCTTAGCTGGAGATTGCTTTCTGGATAGAATGCTGTCAGAAGGGAAGCAAAATCCCTCTCGGATAAATTTGTTCTCCGGCACCTCTGATTGCAAAAATTGAGTGTCATTCATTTATAAAGGCAGACTTTAGTAGATCAATCCGTCTGGTGTTAGCTCCTTTGGAAAACTGTTTCAGCTCTTACTAATGTGTGGTCTCCTCACCTCATAGCACAGAGAGCACCTTGAAGGGTAGCTACGGCTGTAAGATTGAAGCATATACAAATGTGACGGAGGGACTCATTAGCAAATGTCACTCAACTACGACTATTGGACAGGGACCCAAGGACTCCTTGCCTCTATGCATTTAATTAACAGGATCTCAAAAGTAAAGGCTCCATTGTAGTCTCTCTCCATCAGGAGGTGACATCTAACGTCAGCTGTCACCAGTTGTATAGAGGAGTGAGGGATTGACACTGAATGTTTAAGGATGAGTTTAAAACCATGTTTCTCAAATAACATAATAAATATTCTGTACGGTCCAGAGAACAAGCTGTAACAGCTGCCACAGTGCCTTCCATTTTGAATGAGTGAGCTTATATAGAGCAAGAACGAGGGCATAATTAAGCAAGTAGCAGATAGAAGCAGCAGGAGAAACACAAAATACCATCAAATGGGCACCTGAGACAGCAGGCACACCCCTGCCACAACAAACAAAACAGGACACCAGGAGTTACAAACACCAAGCAGAAATTGCCTGGGGAAGCCCCGCTGAGGCAGTCGGTTGGGGACAGAGCAGATGATTCTCTCAGATGCAGCTTCCAAGTAAAAGACCAAACAAACAGCGTCACTCTGAGCATTAAGTCGACAAGCAGAATGCGACAAGAGAAGCTGCCACAGCCAGCTGGAGTGCCCAGGCGACTCCTGTTCATCTTCTGCAAGCATGAGATCTGGCTTCCCACTCCGACCGGAGGCTTTACCTCATGGAGAAGCATGGCAATGTTCTCTCGTGGTGGTCTTGGTAATGTTTTCAGTGCTCTCAAGGTCACAAGGCTTGTGCTTCTGGGATATTTTCCCTGTTAGAGACCCAGGGGTCACATAGGGGTTCAGAGACAGGCATCCCCAAACAAAGGGTTTTGGAGAGCACTTGAAATAAACATGCTGGGGACTGGCTGGGAGACGGCAAGCCTCGCTCATCCCAAAGCCAGCTCTAACAAACTTAAACAGCATCTGACCATTTACCAATATAATATACACTTAAATAAACAGGTGCTGAGTTATTACTAGGAACTCTTTCTGGGGCTAATAGAGCAGTGAAGGGTGACTACGAGAAGGAAAAATGAGTCAAAGATGCTGATCCAGTATGGTACTCCATGATTTAGTTTCAGGTTTTCAGTTTTGCTTTCTTTGAATGAGTAGAAATACCTTTATAATTATTCTCTCACACACATACATTATACACACCCTCTACATATATGATCACACACACGCCACACACAATCACACACACACGCCTTACCTATATAATCACACACACAAACTACATACAATGATATATATACACACACCCTACAAACACAGTCACACACACAATACACTCATACCCCTCATATGCAACCACATACACCACACGCAATCTCCCTCTAACACACACCACACACACAATCTCACAGACACACCACACACCACTCA